AGTAGTAGTAGTAGCAGTAGTTGTTCTGGTGGTAGTGGTAGTCCTAAAGGAGACGCTGCACGATACGTGCTTAAATAAAAGCTCGGTGTTCAGTCCGAGTGGGATGCGTAGGACATGTACTAAGTATGAAGTAAGTAAGAGCGCATGGTATTGATTAGGAGGTTGACGTCGCAAGTACAGGAAGTTAGGTACGCTGCTTCCCGCAAGATGTTCCAATCAGAGCAGGTCTGAGAAAATGGACCTCTGCGCACGACATGAACCTTGCGGTTACATCTCTCTTTCCCTGGCAGAATTGACATGAACGTCAGACGCGGTTTACAGACCTGCCCCCCTCCTGCAGAAGCTTAGAATGAGCTATCCGAGGCCAGCGCAGAACAAACAATAAGGAAAGCAATGAGGGCGAGCACCATGTCCGTGGCGATTCCACTGCCCAACCTGACACAGGAGCACAATCGGTGCTCTTGTGAAGAACGTTAGTGTCAGCATCTGTGAACCTACCAACTCACGTGACGCATGCAGATCGGACATACTAGTACAGCCACGAAATTGGACCAGGCCTGCTTGCCAACTGGATCCGGGTTGCTTGCAGGAACCACACACCTGCTCCAGTGTTGCCGTGTTTCAAGTTTCAGCCTTGACAAGTACCTTCATGCATGAGGTGCAGTTTTCTGACTTGGACAGTCTGTCATCAAATCCGCCAGCCTTGGGCTGCTTCAAATTGTCACTCACAAAATCTCACAACTCTTGTCTCGGCTGCTCCATTGTGGATCCTGTAGGCACATCCTCAAGTTCCTCGGCCATGCCACCGAATCACAGCAGGGAGCCTTCGAGAAAGTCCAGAAAACCGTCGGTGTACGGGAAGCCTTGTGCTGGCGACATGTTGTTTGCGCAAGTTGGCGAGATCAGGTTACGCCGGGTTTGCTGACAGCCTACGAAATGTAGCGAGTATGGCCATGTCATGGCAGCGGAGTAGGGATAGCCGGCCCGGTACAAAGTTGTGACTCTTATGGTGATATCAGGAAAATCTGCCGCAGCATTCTCCAGTATGTAGGTATAGTCCGGCAGGCTTGTATTCAGGCTGGCGCGCATTGCTCACGATGCATCTCGGCACAGTTCAAGAGCTGCACAAGACTTGAAAAAACCGCCGGTGACAGAATTGAACCCTCCCAGTGGAAATCCCGCCGCCAAAACTTTAAACTATCGTCCTAAACCCTTAACCCTAAACCTTAAGTAAACCCTAAACGCTGCACCGACAGCAATCCACGGTGCAGGCCTTCCTCGTTGTCAACGCTGGCGTCACTTCCATCATCTGTGTTTTGGAAAACCTGCGCAGTTTACCCATAGGCGCAATAGGCCCTAAAGTAGTTCCTCTTTGGGATTCATATATAGAGTCCTATAAGGTAACTTTAGGTTTAGGATATGGGCCATGGGAGTCTACAGTAACATTTGGGAGTTGAAGAAAGTGCCAAGAAATTCACGCACTACATAAAGCAACTGTCAGCGTCTTGGGTACTATTTTTTTACCATCTAAGAAGAGCGGAATGGTGGACATCGCCTGCATCTCGAGCAATGTCATCGGGAAGGCATGTCGGAAGAGCAACCTTGTATGCAGCTATCCATGTGAAGAGTCGCAGCCCAGCTCGCCGAGTCGGCAAAGTGTGCGGCCGACTCGTTGTTTCTTTACAGTATCATGTCTTTGCTATTCCTTCATGTAAGTCTACATACAAATATCATACAAATATACCTCAACCGGCCGGCCTTGGCCAGGAAGTTATCCAGCTCTGGTGGGAGGGTGGCTGCAAAGTCGGAGGAGGGCACCAAGGTCAGGACTCGGCAGCGAAGCTGATAAACGTTCTCTGGGGTATTCGTCTGTTCGAGAGCTGCAGGGGCATCTTGGGCTTGGGGCGGCAGGGGTCGCGAGGCAGATCTCAAGTTCAATGAACTGCCCAGAGTAAACCTGGAGGGTTGGCACCTGCGCCAACATGGATTTGAAAATGGAATCGCTGAGTGAGCGGACGGATCTCCGAGTCCGGCAACTTGTGCAGAGATGAGATCCAGCCCGAAGTGACCTGGTGACCGCGCTGCTTGAAGTCAGCACGAGCACGTGCAAAATTCCGAATTTCTTCACTTCGTAAGCCCTGCGAGCTTGCAGCTGCAAGAGTCAGCCTGCCATGGAGCTGAGAGCTCGGCCTCATCTGCGAGTGCTGCCAGCAAGGAAGGAGCCTGTCGGTACTAGTGCAAGGGTATGCTACTACTAACGGTGCATAACCGCACGTAAGTTGTTCGCTCCCCAGCGTGTCCTACGAATTCCTGAAACAATCAAACTTACAAAACGAAATCAGGAATCCGGCCACATGCCCCAATTTATAAGAAAGATATCCAGAGAAAGTTGCAAATAAAGCATACAAAATCAAAAGACATGTCAAAAGGAAGGCCCTGCAGGGAAGGGCCCGTGGGAAGCCTGAACAGAGGAACCAAGACTTGATTTTTCCTTTGGAAA